GACTTCAGGTTGGCTATTTTCCAGTCAGCAACAAGTTACCACTTACCTGTTCATATAATTACTCAACTCTGGCGGAAGCTCAAAGCAAACGGTCTCCTTCCCAATGGTTTTCTCCATTTTCAGTTTTTCTGGTATGGTGTGCGGGAGACTCCGAGTGAAGATGTGGGTCAGAGCTCCCTCTACATGGAAACCTTTGTCTTGACTCCTTCGCAAAAGAATTTTATTTGATGAATTCGAAACTGAATGCCATTACATAACTGTAACAGGACCATTAAAAGTTCTTTAAGTCCAATTAAACACCATGTTAAATCACATTGTAGTGGACTGTGTCCACTTGTCCAAAGCTGTTTACCTGTAACCAGTACATCTGTAACCTTGATACGTTTCACAGTCAAAGGGATGGATTTCAATGAGAATTAGCCCTGCTTCTGCTGCCATGGCAACCACCTGCCAACTATTGTGCCATTCTCTCATTGGACTGTCACACGGAGTGCCGCCTTGGCCATTGCACAAGGTGACGTGCACTTCCCCATTGTCCTTCAGGACTGCAACGGCACTAGAAAAAAAAAATCCATCCATCACACATCACATATGTACAAAGCACCAAAAGACCTTGAAACTCTTGATCCCCTCAGTTCCATAACATTACATAACACTGGAAGTCAAGCTTATGTAACACCATAATAAAGACCTTGTTGCCACAAGAGTGTCACACTTACCTTCGGAAAAATTTCTCCAGCAGAATGCGGTTCTTCTTTACGCCACTTTTACGCCCACAGTGAGGGAAATTGAAGATAATGCAGTCAAAAAGATGATGCTTAATGGTTCCGTGCTCCTTTAGGCTTGTGCAATCCACCTCAAAGAGAACGACTGATCCTGCAGTGGGAGTTTGTATTGAAATCAAGGCCTCCACAGAATTATCATACAGAATTCAATGAAGCTTTTAACCCTCCCTGGCAGTTTCATAGCAACCAAATGTGTACATTTGGCTGCAGGCATGCGAATTCAGGGCTATGACACTTGATGTGTGGGAAGAATAGGTCTCCTTGAAAATGCTTACATTAGCAGATACTAAACTATGGGTGAAACTATGGGTATCGATGAAATGGCTTTCAGATATCATGAAAACAGGACAACAAAGACACAAGAAAGCACCGCAAGAGTAAAAACATACATGGAAGACAACATTATCAGAATGAAGAATCCCAAAACGACCGACCTCTGTCACGGAGTCGCTGTATGTTCAGTATGGCTCCCTCCTGTCTATACATTTGATTCTCGCTTTGAAAGCAAGTGGCGGTCACGCCGACGTCGTCGCTCTCGCTCAAAGCTGCCGAGAAAGAGAAGTTGCCTTCCCCTACAAGTAGCACCTCGCGTGTCTTGGACATTTCCAGAAAATCTCAAGTAAACAACCCAGCAAGCTGTCACATTAGTAGGAGAACAAAACTTTTCCATACATTTTAACCAAGGGTTACAGCGTCGCTTCGACTATCGAGCTGGAACTGAGCGAAGAAAGCCTGGCAGGACACAATGCGGCATTAACACTAGACTGCATGGCGCTCTGACATCTGTCGCGATACGGCTTTAAAGCTAATTAAAATAAATACCACAGCTTGTAACGCCGGTGTTTCGGAGCTAACGCGACACTTGAAGACCAGAGGTGGTTTTACGTGACAACGTGTAATTGAGAAAGAGAGAGGTGCAGTTTCATAAGCTGGCGTGCAGCAGCAGTGAAGTTTCGTTACCCGGGGAATGCCGCATAGTGGAAAACAACCGTAAACATCCCGTTACTATGCGCTCGATTGCAATTTGTCCTAAGACAGTAAAGCAGTCCGTCCGGTAAAAAAAAAAA